GCCATTTGCGGGATACTCTCCGTTTCTGTTGTCAAGATTTCCCATGGTTCCTTAGGGATAATAGCCAGGGCTCTTAAAGGCACAGCTGCTCAGGCAAAGGCAGAGGCACACAGACAGACAAGAGGAAAAGCCTGCTTCTTCCTCTTGCGTCTCTCTCTATGGATGTTATCACACGGGGAGTCACGGGGAGAAAGTGGAAATAAATGGGATGAGCGGAAGACTTTAATTTACGGGATTTGTCCTGTTCCGCCTCGTCTGATAACTAAATTCGAATTTAAAAAGGGGTTAATTCAAACAAAAACCTGATCTTTTCATATCCTCAAAAATCCCGAAAATGAAAAGATCAGGTTTTCGTTCGAATTAACCCCCTATAAATTCGAATTTAGTTATCAGACGAGGCGGAACAGGACAAATCCCGTAAATTAAAGACTTCCGCTTGTGCCCGTTTATTTCCACTTTCTCCCTGTGACTCCCCGTGTGATAATGTCCTATATGTGTGAATATCTTTCCTCCTCCATCCAGAGCTTTTAAATGAGCAGCTGCTGAGGGAAGTCAGGAACACAGTGGGAGAGAGAGAGAAAGAGAGAAATTTGCTTCTAGTGCTGCTTTATCCTGCCCTTCTTTGTAGCTAGAGCTCTTAAAAACAAACAGCTGGTAGAAAGGCAGAGAGAGAGAGAGAGAGAAGAGAGTGAATGAATGATTGCCTCTGTCTGCTGGAAACTGTCCCCTTTAAGGGATTTTGGACTTCAGCTCCCAAAAACCCAGACTGTTGGCCAACATGGCTGAGGCATCTGGGAGCTGAAGTCCAAAATCCCTTAAAGAGGACAGCCTTCCCTCTTAGCCACAGCTCTGAAAGAAACAGCTATTGAGGAAAGGCAGGGATACACACAGACCTTCCCCCATTGCCAGGGCTCATTGTGTGAAAATCATTTGCACATTTGCTCACTTTTGCAGGATACATGCGCTTTAATCATTATCAGGATGGGGGCACATTTGGTCCTGTTGTGTGAAAAGCATTCCTGCATTTGCATGCAAGTGTGGCTTAATCTTGGATTCTGCATGAGATAAAGCAAAAGCAAAAGCAGCTTCATTTATATACTGCTTCATACCGCACTATGCAGTGTCTAAGCAGTTTACAACTGTAAGCTCATTGCTCCCCAACAAGCCTGAGCCTTGGCTAGTATTGAACTCGCAACCTTGTGGTTTATGAGTGAGTGGCTGCAATACATACATTTAACCACTGCACCACCAGGGCTTTATGTGTGAAAATCATTTGTGCAATTGTTCTTTGTTAGTCACGGGTTCTTACCATTTTAAACTTCCAATTTTCCCCAGTGTGATAAACTCCTAAGGATGGTTACTGAGAAAAGAAGCTCCTGTCAAAATCAGTGAAAGAGCCGGGTGGCGGGGTGAGCCCCCTCAGAAACCAGCCCCCAGGGTGAAATGAAATGAAATGAAATGAAATAAATGACATAGTGGTTTGAGTGTTGTACTGCAACTCTGGAGACTAGGATACTGGGCCAAGTAAACCCACAGCTGACCTTGGGCATGCCACACTCTCTCAGCCTCAGAGGAAGGCAGTGGCAAACGAACAAACTTGGAAAAGAAAACCATAAGCTAGAAACGTATGCCATGAGTTGGGAACGACTTGTTTGTAGGCAAGGTGACCAGAGAGAAGTTCTCCTCCTTTTCCAGGACAGGTCCTCCATTTCAACCTTCTGTCCAGGAAGAGTTCCAAAACGTCCTCCGTTTTGAGAGCATGACCGAGAAGCATGCATTTAACATTTCTAAGGACGTTATCACACGTGGGCCAGAAAGCGATAATAAAGTGGAAATGAGGCATTCCGAAAATAAACCGAAAATAAACCTTGATTCCGCAAATGGCTTTCACACGTAATTACCTTAATTGCGAATTTACAGTAAGCGCATTTAATGTTCACAACGTAAATGAACTAGAAATGATCATCTTGCACACGCGCAGATAGAGGAATGCTCGCCGTGGAACCATGGGAAAAAGCAGGGAAATGCTCCCAAATGCGCATTTGCTTTTCACATTACAGTAAATGCGAAATTACTGTAATTTTGCAAATGCATTTCCTCAAAACTACTGAATTTCAAATGATCTCGGATTAACACCAGTTTCTGTGCAACGTCGTGTGAAAACGCGGGGCACAAATCCAGTT